GGAACGAGATCGAATGTAAATTTCAGTTCGGCGCGAATTACGCGAAATTGACGATATAAAGGTTCTGCGAACTGCTGGCCAATCACCAGCGATTAGGCGTTTATAATTACGAGGATGCCTGCTCTTGGCACCTGAAAGAGCACTTATAGATCGTGCCTCGATTTAATCGTCGTCATTTGAATTATTTTTCTGGCTACCTGTCGTCAGAAGCGTGGATCCATGGATCCGGTCGATGCCAATCGAAAAATAGATCCGAGCGCAACCTGTTCGAAATAGCCGGCGTGAAACCTGTAACGTCCACGGGTGTGCCTTTAATGTCAGCACGTCGTACATGTAGATCGGTATCCGAGCAACGACATCGCGATCAACGTTCAGATAGAAAAACGCGCCACGAGTCAACTGGCTTCGACCACGAATGGGTTAACATGTCGATTATTTAAGAGTTTCTACCAATAAGTTGATCGACCTTTGAACAGAGATACGCTACGAAAGAAGTAGTGCTCGAGACCAGGCCGATCAAGTTCACGGATTGATAGCGCGTCTAAAAGGTTCCCGACAGCGTCAACCCCAGGATACCTTCCCCTAAGTTTCGCTTCTGGGTCATTCGATATCCTTGAGGAATTGAAATTTTATCAACTCGTAGGGCTAGCAATAATCTAAAAACAAAACATACAATTAACACTTTCAGTGGCAGACATAGTCATAAAAATACTTAAGAAGCTAAAATTTTATTCTATACAATTGGATACTCTACACTCTACATTTGTGTTAGCATTTAGTTTTACAACCTGATCAAAATTCACGGATCCTATCCGAACTTGTTTTCTTTAACATCTGATCTTCAGAAGGAATTTTTTAATTCCTTAGCGAAAATCCCTGTCACCCACATCTGGATGACGTGGCGTTCAACTTGTTAATAGTACAAAGATAAATGTTTGATTATGCAGTCTCCAATAGTTTAAATAATATTTCATTTTAGTAGAAACTTTAAAGAATATTTGTCTGACAGTCAACGTGTTAAATAACACAGAAACTTTAGGGTCAACGATGAAACCAGAAGTCCTTAATCGCGCGAACTTGCGCCTACGCCTACGGGGCGATGCTCGCAACCCAGGTGGCGGGCTTCGGCGATTCGCGGGGCAAATGGAGATCATGCTCGAAGGTGTCTAAGCTAAAGGGAAGGAAATCTAATTATAGAAGTCGTTGTACCGTGCGCTGAAAGTGGCGGAGGGTGTGAGTACGGGTGCACGAATGAGAATCGGTTGCATTGGGCGGCCATAAAATGCAGGCTGCATCCGCTCGGCGCAGATGTAGTTGGATCGGAGCTCCAGCACCACGACGAGACCAAAGGGATCTCCCGTTTCGGGGTTCCGTGGCCTACCAGATATCGAGGACAATGAACCTGAACGTACGTGTACGCGATAGGAGCGGATTCCTCGGATTCTTGCTTGACTTGGGAGATCGATCGCGAAAGGGGCGCGAAACGACCCGTAACTTTAAACTCGAAACCCCAACTGATCGTTCCCAGGCGTTTGATTCTTCTCGAGTCCCGCATTCCTGTTGACGATAATTTAATCAGTTAGTCGTAGCTAAATGCTTGAAATTATATTTCAGGTGCATTTACCAAGGTTCGCTTTAAAGCATAACGTTCCAGGACCGGAAATTTTCAGGAAATATAACAACAAAAATATCAATTCTTTTTATCTTTAAAGTAAACACAGACTCTTTAACAAGGTCTCGGCTCGATTGTCTTATCGTAGCTACCGCGAGTTTGTTCATTACGCCGTTCATTCACACAGGAGCCATGTGGTTAGACGGTAATCCTTCCTGTGGTACTTCCTGTCCCTTGCTATGATAAAAAGGGGCACGTCATAAGAGAGCTCTCCTCCAAAAAATGTTGACAAAGCGCAATCTGCTGCTACGAGCAAAGTTCCCGAATGGCTCGCGAAGGACGCGAGTCACTTATTCACGGTTTCGCGAATAACGAGCAAAGATGTTTAAGGAATGGATTGGACGATTGCCAACAAAAGCTGATCTCAATAACGGGAAATAATCTATCCGCCACGTGCAGCTGGTCGGGGATCGAACTATTTACAGCGGAAGTTTTATGCGTGTTAACTGTTCCTCGGTGGGGTTGACACGCTTATCGCCGATACTGACCAGTACGAATGGTCCAGCTGTGACATTTCGCATACGATCGAGCCGTGGCGGTAGGAGCTCGATTATTGTTGTTTCCACCTTTCTTTTTTCACCCTCTCTGAGAGTAGCCGCGCGTGTGCCCGTGGCGTGGCCATGTAAGGGCTAAGCGGGGGCGCTTGGCCGCTAATTTTAGTCCGTCGTCTCCAGGGTTCCTGGAGTCGTCGGCGAATCGGCAGCTGGTGATTCAAAACGTAGCCTTGCACGTGGGTACGTACGTGTCTCACCGTTCACGCGCGACGGACATCCCCCTTCTTGTTTCTCCTCTCGAAGGAGGTCGGTCGACGTGTCCACTCGGTTCGCTCCAGATGTGCCTTGCATCTGATGTCACCCCGATATTGAGATACTCCGCCCAGACGATGTTCTGAATCATCCTGCGCCTCGTCTTAGGATAGTATTGAGCGCGATACAGAATCTAATCTAACAAGTTTGCAGTTGCGTTAGAAGAGTGAAAGAGAGATTTTATTTTTAATACCGTAATAATCGATTGACAGAACAGAAGCAAGTCACTCTTACCCTGTGATTAAACTCTTACAAATTCTAATCCCTTACTTATTAGTTGTAAGAAAGCAAAATTTCAGTACACGCGTGGTGAACAGATATCCTGGCTACTCGATTCTTGTTCAAAATCGCTAATTAGTCTCTCCAACCCTGAAAGGAAGCGAGATGAAGGAACAGCGTGTGTCTCTTCGACGTGGCGTTAAAGGGGAAAAGAAGGAGAGGTAAAAACGAGATCTGGCGGCGGCTGGTGCAGCGGATGTTTGAAGCTGCTGAAAGTGAAGCGGTGGTTCCTTTCGCGTTCTTTCTCCGTCTTTCCTGTTGCTTTCCTTCATCGGTTGGCCGCGATCGCGGTAAAACGCGGTCCGTGGAGAACGCACCTCGGCGGATGTGATGTTTAGGACACGGCGCGGACAAAAAATTCTTCACCGTATAAATAGGCAACGGTGGTCGGTAATGCCGGCTAACTTTTGACCCACATATTTCTACTGATTGTTTGTGGAAGCGTATACCTCCGTTTTTCCATTTCAGTTGTCCTAAACACGGGCACGAGCCGCAGGGATGCGCGGCACGTGGGCGCGCAGTTGCCCGTCCGATTGATGTAGCCGAACAAAATCGAGATACAGAGTTCATGAAAGTGAAAAAGTTCATGCTGGAATGGGCATTGTAAATGAAATTAAACACTATTTTTCATCTGTTTTGTAAAATTTAAATGTATACTTTCATTGGGATGCATTGAGCAGTTTAAATGATTTCATATCTTGAATTAAACTGACTGCTAGTTGACTGCGACATAATATACATAATTCTAATGGAGTTTTAAACACTTTGGTAATACGATCACCATAAAGAACCGCACTTGTTGGCCTATTTCCACTCGGGTTTCAGGAGACAAATCTTTTCTGACCTGCTCTCTGCTGGGTCAAAGAACTATAGCACATAATTATGTAGCACGAGGACACAAACTGCGATATAGTAATAGCAATATAGCAATACACATTTATTAACTATAACTAAAACTACTTGTTGTTAGAATAATAATTGTATCATTTATTCTTATCAATAAACCCGTCATCGTCGTATAGAGATAAATATTAAATACATCAAGACTGTATATATAGAGCTTGTAGCCTTTCATTTTATGCTTATTATTTTTTGCCTTAATAAGCTAATTTAAATCTTTTCCCTAATTATAATGCGTTATATTTTATATGTTATTTTTTTTCTTATGTCCACCTTCAATTTTTTTGAAAGTAAAAGAAATTAATGGGCCGTTAGGATATGTGAAGTGGTATTTATTATAAACTTTGGCGAGACCAAAGGGGTATACGTCGCGTGGACCCAGTCAGATATGCTCGACACGTGGTTGTCGATATTCCAGGCTCCTGCCGAGAAACACAGACCTCCCAGTGTCATCCGACCACCATGTGCACGAAACCACGGTGAAGTCCCTCTCAGGTTTTGAAATCGTCTTCTATTTGTCCTCGGTATCACCGAAACCGAATGGTGGGTGAAAAAACAGAGAAACCGTTCGAAAGACCAACGCACGGTTTACACCTCCTCGGTGTAAGTACTCGGTGGAAATTTAAATAGATCTTTTCTAAACGGCAAGTGCGTGGCATACACTACGCGGGAGAGGTCCGTTGGAATTACAGCATTCTTCGGTAAGACAAACCACACATGAAAAGGAAGGAAAGCAAAAGAAAGTAAAAAAGATTCAAGTTTGAAAAAGTAATTAAGGGATCTGCCTAATTTAAAGAATTATAATAAAAAGAACAAAATTAAGTTCATAGATTGTACTGAAGTTTTGATTAACTGATTTCAAGTTGGACACATCAGAATTTCTTCTTGGAAAATATATTTCGATCTCGACAGAGTTGACAAATATAAGTACAAATTAAATATTTACGTTTAGGAGATACTCCGAATTTGCGAATTGGAAACGTTTCAACAAGGTTGACGGTGACGAGTTATTGCGGGCCGCGCAAATGTTAACGAAAACGACACTCGTAGTAGCTGTAGTTTTCACTGCGGCTGTCACCTGCTCTTATTGCTTGACCAATTGATGTAAACCCACGTCCGGTACTTGACTAAAGTGCACCGGGCGCACGTCTGATTCGTAGGAATATGACACCCTTACTTTTACGACACTTTACATGGCGCATATGCTTCTCAGAAGTCACGTTATTATTCGTTTATGTTAAAGGGTTTGGGTATTTGTAGCAGTATATTCAGCTTGGGCGTATGTCAATCGAAATTTAAGAACAAACATCGATTCATACAGAGAGTGGTGAGATTATGGCATATCAGAAATTGAAAGATTTAAACATCAACGTTTTCATATCCAAGATATCGTACAAAAATTTGGGCCTGAAGATCATGTTCAATTTATGTAAAAATTGATATCCTTCGTAACCATACGAGACCTGAGAACAAATAAATATATGATATTAGAATGGTTCTTAATGTCACTGAAATACGTAAAACAACCCACATCGATGGGGTAATGAGAGGGGTAAACAGGGCTTGCTGCAATGTAAAAAAACACGCTGACCGTCACTTGAGGTTCAGGATATGCTGGAGTTGGAACACTCCAAAGAACCTGGTACGTGTAAAATTCTGTACCATTTTTACGTTGAAGACCAATGAAGAACGCATGAAACATCCAGTCCTTTAAAGCCTACAGAACATCTGAATAAGAATATTCATGTTCACTATTTGTTAAAAACAAATAGTTTAGTAATAATTACTACTGATAAATTCCATGACTCCATTTCTTTAATCACGCTTTCTAGACCCCCTCGAATAGAAAAACTGCCACATGTAGGCCACTCGTTCCCGTGGTAGCCCATTTTTCGCATATATCTGCCAGATCGGTGATCATAGAAGAGGGGACCCTAAATAATTTAAGACTTATATCGGCAAATGTGATCACAAAAATAAAAATTTGCATTTATTCTGCAAACCATGTTTCCTATAATCTTCACTGCATTTTCAATTGCATTATTGACAAGCCTTTCAATAAAATTGGTCGTACTACGATAAGATTGGTAAGGGTGGCTACTTTCGATTCCAGGGGTAACATTGAACATAGAACGTTGTTTACCTAGTATCATCTTTCTAGGGTTTAGAGATCGCAGGGGAGGTTATTTTGCTTCTTTAAGTTTTTGAGAATTTATTTCGCCAAATAATTACATACATTCATCATTGCATTCGTGTTAAAAAAAGAAATGAGAAAATCGACGACTTCGTGCTTCCGCTCGTGCATGTTTCTCTAATCGCTATGACAATTATTCGAGATATACATACATACATACGTCTATAGTCGTATACAAGATATCTAAATACACAGGTAAAACGCACGCACAATTAAATTATACGAAGACTTGAATTTAGTCAAATAGTTGCCTATAATATGATATTAATACTTATTATCAAGTTAACAGTCACTTTTAGAGTTATTAGGATTATCTTGTTGAGACCGAGTAGTCTTTGTAGATGCTTCCAAGCCTGTAACAGCCGCTAAAATTTGGAACAAACTTTCCATTAATCTACTAAATATCTCTGACATCTCGTCGTCCTTTCGTGTAACCACAAAAATATCTGTAAAGAAACGATGACCAATTAAGTAACTTACAATGTAGTTGTACATCATGTAATGATAAGATATATACCAGATCTATCTTGTCCTAAGTATTTGCAATACATATTAACAGCAGTCGTCACGTCATCGTCATCGTGAAAGGGATCCCCGGGCCACTGAGCTCTGTGCAGTCTTACAGCTTCAAGGGCAGGACACCATCGAGCGTTTCTAAGTAGTTCCGCGACTCGAGCAACTTCTTCGACAGCGCCACTACCGGGTAGAGGACTTGGACTAGGCGTTGGAGTTGGTGTACCCCTTTCGCTCTCTGTGCTTTCCTCGAGCGCTCTACTTAGAGCAATTTTCATATTCGCAATTTCTGTAGACATATCTTGAAGTGGAATTTGTACGTTCCTGGCAGCGTTCATGAGAGTGCCTAACATTTTATTCGACGCTTCGATTAAAAGTAAAAGTTGAAGATGAAGCTTATAGAGGGCTCTGCCTAAGTCTAGCAGCATCTCCTCAAGGCCTGTCTCTGTAGTGTGACTACCACCTAACGCTTGTAGTTTCGCTGATGCTTTGGCAGCTTCCAGACACTCGGTAGCATGATCTTTCTTATCGAGAAATGTTTCAAGATGCTCTTGTATTTCTAACATTCCAAAACGTAAGGACTCGTTCAATCTTTGATTCGCGAAAACGGCAATTGAAAACCAAATTAAAGGTGGCTCAGCCTTTGAACTAAGTAGATCAGCGTGACTAGATAAATGATAACCTAATTGGGTGGAGGCAGGACTGCCGTTACACAATAAGGCACTGGCTTCTCGCGTGAGAGTAACAGATTTACAGCTTACATCCTAGTAATGATACGAAATATTACAATCTTTGTTGTTACGAAAATGAAATAAACCTACTTACCTTCACAATCCTGCTCAACAGTTGGAAAAAGTCTAGTGTATTGTATAGAGACTGCGTAATGAGATTTTGAATTTGTTGTCGCCAAAGCTCCTCGGCATCGTCTCGCACGGCTTGTCTAAAAGGCATCAACGCCGAGAGATTTGGCGATGCGTTACAAGGCGTCACGTCTCCTAAATCTCCAGCGCTAGAACCACTGCGTACAAATAATAAACATGACTCGATTAAATGCACCTTTAATATGATTCAACGAGAAACTTACGATGTGTCAGACCTTGTCGAAGAATCATGACGCGTGCGACTAGGTATTAGTGAAAGAGAGGACGGAGGGAACATTCCGGGAATATTATTTGCTTCTTGCCCGGTTCCAGATCCACCGGGTACTTCGTCTAAAGGTGATTCTGAACCAGCCTCGTCATCCGATGATTCCTCCGCCACTCCACGCTATTATTTTAGTTTTATAATTTCATTAAGGTTATCATTATGATTTTGTTTTCAAATTTGAAAATTGATCACTATTTATTTACCCGGCTGGTATGTTTACTGGACGATTGAGTCTTTTCACTTAAGCTTTCCTCAAATTGTCGCAAGCTTGGCTCTCTTTCTTCTCCTTCGCTAAGAGGACGTCGCCTCACCCCCCAATTGAAATTATCAGTACTTTCACCCTGCGATACATTTATGAACATTTGAATACATACACATGTTTTTCTATGGATTAAAATATAGATAAAAACTGGTATATGAAATTAAAATTCTAACCTCAACGCTTTCGCTTTCATATTCGAGGAAGTCAAAGTCTTTGAATACGCCAAACTGTTCGTCATCTCTTCTAGACCCTCCGCTCAAATCGTTATTTGCGCCAGAAACTTCTTCCGTCGAAGAAGCCATGGATGACTGCCTTTCCATTAAATCTGAACTTTGACTGAATATTACCTGCATTGCAAATTTTTATTTGTAATTAATAAAAAGAAATACGATAAAATAACGATATGATCCTTGTTCAACACGAAGTTCCAACTCTGTTTTTTTTTGCTATGTGACGATGCTGTGAATTTTAGCAATTATTGTGCACGTACGTGTCTAATATTGAACTCGTTTACAGAGATCTTGTTTGCATAGTACCTCGTATAGTGATAATTTAGTAATTACAACAATGCACGCTGAACATGCTACACAAAAATCTACTGCGTTTTAATAATAATCCTACAATAGTCAGAATAGATTTTATCCCGTTTTTTGTGCAGGTCAAAACGTTTGTACAAAGCATATTAAAGCGTGGTTATATTGTACTGATAAGACATCACATATAAGTATAAACAAATATTTTTGTACTCTTGTGATAATGAGTGCAGGCTGCATTTAAAGAAACCTGTTACCTTGCTATATAATGTCATTGAACTAATGTGTTCATCCTAAAAAGGGGTACATAACCAGAGTCAGTTTTAGTAAACGATGTAATTTCCCATAGGATAAACTACTGAATACAAAATGTATAAACCACACGAGTTTTTGAAAAAAATACTAAGCTGATAAAAACTTACAGATGGGCTCTTTGGTAGTCCAACGCGTTGCCCACATGTTGTTAAAAGATTCACCAAACATTCTCTAACTCGACCCTAAAAAATGATTTTGTTGAGATATAATTTGTTTGTATTCGAACCTTACTACTCATCTAACCTGAGACATCCACGGCCTTTTCCAACCGGAAACTGCATTACTCTCGGCTGGTGAAAGAGATAATGAACATCGAGGAGACCCAAGTGATTTTTCTTCCACACCCTGACGTATTAGCCACCGTCTACCGATTACAGGTGTTTGAGACAAGTCAAATGTGAAATCCATAGTCCTTCCTATTTACAAATACAAGATTACAATACAATTTTACGACGAACAATATTAAAACAAACACTTACATGTAAAGAATAATTTAATAATTGCTATATCCCAACAAGTATTTTTTACCTGTTTTAATAAAATGTGTAAGTTTGAGAACGGTAGTGTATGTGCAATGTATTGTAATGGAGATGTGTGTGAAAAAATTCTGAAAGTTTAAGTTGATTTTAAATAAAACATGCATTCGAAATGGAGGTTGATTTAAAAAAATAGTAACTATATTTCGTGAGTAATTTACAACTTATTGTTATTATTATTTTTATCGCAACCTGTGCATCATCAGATAAGCGATCCATGCAGTGAGCGTGTTCCGCATTGTAAGAGGAAAAAAAGGATATAATGATTTTAAATATTCACATGCAAAGTATAGTTTAAAGTGTATTCATTTACCGGGTAGTTCTTTTTTGGTAAATATTTCGGTGTCGGTGAAGCTCGGATGCGGAGATGCTAAAGAAGATTCCCAGGATGAACCGTGCACTGAAGTAGGTGGTGCTACTAAAGTTGACGATCTTGTCACTACGAGTTTTAATATTTTAAGGGCTTCTTTCCAATGGGGACCCTAGTATTACACCATAACATATCAACTACATTCGAAAAACGTTTGCAAGTATTGTGACTTCTTACGATTTACTAACATTTAAAAGAAGTGTTCAACCATACCTCGACGTATTTTGAAATCACTCTCAGAAGTTCAGTGTTGATCGGTTGAGCGGCTTGAGAAGCTAAATCAACGTAATGTAACATACAATGTATGATACTAAGCACTGGTAGCGCAACACTTCCTGGACCTTTCTCAAGTACTTCCACCAGAAATGCAAGCATATTAAAACTGAGATGAGCGTATGTGTCATAAAGGTACTTGACAACACACTTTGTCCATTGAAAACTTTCCTTGCTAAAAGTTCGTCGGCTATATAATGTCATAACGGTGCCTAAGTTTTCCAATTTTTTTCCCTTTTCAGCACTCACCTACGAAATAAAATATATTCCACATATGTAACTTATAGAATGAAACATACTATATAGTTATAATTGTTACTCATGTGTAATAGTACTTGTGCAATGTTTTCAGCGCTCCTAATGCATAACTCGTTAGCATCCTCGTAATTTAAAAGCATGTAGGGAAGCAATGACACAACGTTCATTGGAAATGCGAGACTCTGAGTTGGATCAACAACTGGCAGATCCAGTAACGGGGTAAACTGCGACAATAATGTTACCACTGGTTCATACGTATTCGGACTAGTGCATCCTTTTAATAATAGTGCATGTACACCGGGAAACGAATTCCATCTTAATTGCTGTTGCAATTTTTCTACTTTGTCTCTAGCATCTGGTCGATCCAGCGGTAATCTATGTAGTACACGGCTGAGCAATCTCAACGCCAAGAGAAATTCGTGTTCGTAGTCCGATTCAAGCAAGGATACGGATAGCCAAAACAGTTGTGCCAAAATAGTCATTTTATCA